TGTAATTTGGCCTTGGACCTTGTCCTCTAAAACTTCTCCCTTAATCATTGAAAATGGCAAATCTATTGCCTCGTTTCAAAAACAAAATTAGGCCACAGACCTCTAGACGCCAGCTTCAAACCTACAAAGAAGAAAGAGGCCAAGAGGAAGGTCACTGCTACCATCTAAACTTAGAGGATAGCTTGGGATTTGATCAGGCTTAGAGTATCTACAGCTGGGCGCCTCAAACCCTCCTCAAACGCTCGGGCGGACGGCCCTAAAAAATGCGACCCAAATGGGCGCCTCAAACACCTGGGCTGACTAGAACCCCTCATATCTATCCCAAATCTGGGATGCATATGGGGTGGCCTGGCGCGTCCGCCATGTCGGAGCCGACCCATGCTGGTCCACCCGACCCCATATATATTCGTTGATATCGGCTCCACGAACCAAACCCTAGCCACTCCATTCCATTCCCCTCCAGTCCACTCCGCCCCCAAGCTCCCGTCCGGCGGTCTCGACCTTCTCCGGCATGGTGGGAAGCGGATCTGACTCCGACAAGTCCGAATCCGTCGACTAGGGTGTTGTTCTGTGCGGGATGCAGGCAACTGGTGAAGGAAATCAAGATTTCCATGTCATCTAGGGAGTTCAAACCTGTTAAGATTGCTAGAACGCAAAACAGGGTTGCACATTGTCTTGCTAGTTATGCTCAACTCGCTTGGCACGTAGCACCGCTTGTTGGTTGCAACGTGGCCCCCCTTTCGTTACAGAACTTGTGTTAGCAGATTGTAACCCTAATTCTATGGAATAAATTCCCTTCTATTCGCAAAAAAAAAAATCCAAGAGCTATGGAAACAAATAAAATATGCATATGGTATTTGCCTGAAGCTAATAGGCTATGTTGATATCATGCCATGGATATTGGGCCGAAATTCTGAATCGGCGAAGCTTCAGATTTCCAGGCCATACAACAGCTCCACTGCTCCAGTAATGGCGAGCTGAAGCTTCACCCCTTCCGTACGGTGGGTAAAATCAAAGCCTTGCCTCTGATCTCATCACCAAAAAGAAAATGGTCTGTGCCACAGGAAGATGTTCTGCAGATAAATGTTGATGCGGCGACTTTCGCCCACTCTGGACAAGCTGGTCTAGGCGTCGTTGTTCATGGATGTGCAGGAAGCGAATCGGGGTGCTATTCACCATGTTGGAATCCCAGAAGTGTCTGAAAGCCCTAGCATCGCGCCAGCCTCTCGTCTTTTGCAGGAGTTCAGGTTTTCATAAGATACATGTAGTTCAAAGTTTTCAGAGGCAATTCAGAGTTTTCAGAGGAAGCACCTGATATTTTCCCAGTTCAGACCACCGCCTATCTTGGATAAATAAGGTGCAATGTGAGTTTGACAGATCATCTGTAGGCGGCAGTGTCTAAGATATCAAGAATAGAGCCTCAATGTTTTTTATCTAGTAATTTTATTCATGCAAAATGTTGTAGCAATGAGGCATCTCATGTTCTTGCAAAATCTGCAGAATATGATGTTGGGTCGTGCTGGTATGAACCTCAAGTTATCAGGACAGGACCATTGTTTGTAATGAAAACATTATGAATGAATGCAAGAGTGCTGCCCGTTGTCTAAAAACGAAACTAAAATGAAGAATCGAAAAGTGTCGACAAGACTCATGTAAACTGGAAGGCCGGAGTAGGCTGTAGGCGTAGTATATAGCACCTGAATCCAACTTCAGCTTGTCAGTCATCACTCGTCAAAGACAACTTCAGAAGAAAGAAACCTCAAATACTAGTGACAGTCCATAGAGCAGTGAACATTTCCAGCAATCCAGTGCAACATGGAGCAAACAGACTGAATGATTGATTATTCAATGAACAGCAACATAACACAACCGTTTATTATCCATAGAACACAACACGGTACAAGCGATAATCAACCCCACCCCCCTAACCATTCCCCGCAGACGCCTACAAGAGTCTCACTCACCTACAAGATTTCAAATCAAGGGTTCGGATGCTCCACACAGCAAACCAATCACATTTGAATCAGATGCACAAGACAATCGAATCGCAGTAGCCAATCGGAGGGGTCAGCAGCAGCAGCAGCAGCAGCAGGGCATGCTCAAAGCTTACCCTTGAGTCTCTTCTTGAGGACGTCCATGACGGCGCCGAAGTCAGCCTTGACGCTGACCGGCGGGTTGGCGTACTTGCAGGCCATGTCTTCGATCTTCTGATCATGGTAGTCTATCTTGGACTGGGAGAACTTGAGGCCGTGCGCCGTGCTGACGACCACTGTGCGGTCATTTGCCCCGATGGTGCCCTCTTCCCGGAGCTTGAAGAGAGCCGCGAGCGCGACCCCAGTGTGCGGGCAGGCAAACATGCCGGTGCGGTCTGCGAGGGACATTGCATTCATGAGCTCCTCCTCCGTGGCCTCTGCGACGATGCCATTTGTTGCCTTGAGTGCGACCACCGCACGGTCGACCGATACAGGGTCACCGATCTGAATCGCCGACGCAAATGTTGGCTCAGCCACCTGTGGCTGGAATTGTGTCCACCCTGACTTGTAGTAGCGGTACAGCGGGTTGGCATTGGCGGCCTGTGCGCAGACAAGCCGTGGCAGACGATCAACGAGACCAAGAACACGGCACATCTCGAATCCCTTGTAGAAAGCATATATGTTTCCAAGATTGCCTCCCGGTACAATGACCCAATCTGGGACCTCCCAATCGAACTGCTGCAGTATCTCAATGGCTGCCGTCTTCTGCCCCTCCAGCCTGAGCGAATTGAGCGAATTGGCAAGGTAAATGGGCAGCTCGGCAGTCACCTCCCTGATGAGCCGCATACAGCCATCAAAGTCCGTGTCGAGGGAGAGCACGGTGGCGCCGTTGGCGATGGGCTGGATGAGCTGCTCGAGCGAGATGCGGTTGGCCGGGAGGAAGACGATGGCTGGGATCCCGGCAGCCGCGCAGTAGGCGGAGAGCGCGGCGGAGGTGTCCCCCGTGGAGGCGCAGCCGACGCCGGCGATGGGGCGGGAGAGCGGGGCGCGGCGGAGGCGGTTGACCTGGCTGACGAGCACGGTCATGCCGAGGTCCTTGAAGGAACCCGTGTGGGAGATGCCGCAGTGCTTGACCCAGAGGTCCTTCATGCCGGCGAGGTGGTCGCGGCCGAGGCGCTCGGCCCAGAAGAGGTTGGAGTTGCCCTCGAAGAGGGAGACGATGTGGTCCGGGTCGATCCCCGGGAGCACGAACTCCTTCTTGGACCAGACGCCGGAGCCGTAGGGCCAGACGGTGCGGCCGACGCGGGAGTCGAAGAGGTCCCGCCAGTAGGACCCCGGGTAGCGCGCGAGGGCGTCCATGTCGTGGCGCACGTCGAGGAGGCCGCCGGAGCTGGAGCGGTACACGATCTCGTCCAGGGAGTAGCGCTCGTCCGTGCCGGACCCGCCGGGGCCGGGGGGGAAGGGCTCGTACCAGGCGGAGAAGTCGTTGGCCGGGGCGCGGTGCCGCGCCGCCTCCTCGCGGATGTCCTCGTCCGCCGCGCGCCGGTGCTTGTTGGTGGCGGCGGGGGCGGGGGCGGGGGC